TGTGAATAAACAGCAGCCACATCACAGCTTACGTCTGTCCGAGCAGGACAGGGAGTCTGCTTTGGGCTGCCGCTGGGAAGACAGAGAGGTGCCCCATCAAGGTGTCTGCTCTGAACCTGCCTTTGCAGCTTGGTTTTCCCCTGCCTCCCAGCAGCGACCTCCCAGCAGCACACTGAAGGATACAATGATGTTCCAGGGACCGAGCCGAAGCCAGTTGGGCCAGAAACCTTTATAGAGTGCAAAGAAGCCCTCACTCTTCCATGTCTGGGAGGAGAAAAGAGACAGGTCCATTATGAGACACCCCAAGTCCACACTCTGCCCATCTCCCTACTGCCACGTGAGAGACAACGGGCCTTTAGAGCTGCTGCAGTAAGCAGCCAGGCCAGTGCAGATGCAGTTAAGACGTGTGAAGCGTCACTTCCCGTGTATGAACCTAATCAAACTGCATCACTGACAAGGTTTTGCCCCACAAGGTTGGGAGGACGCTCAAGCTGATGGCGACCTCAGGAAAGTGACCCAAGGCCTTCCTCTGGTTGGTCTGAAACACTCACTGACAAGCACATTCTGTCACCACAGAAGCCAACTGCTCCTGTCAGTGGCACGTGGTGCTGGAATCCCACCAGCCCCCTAAAGGCAGGGATTTGCCCACCTCTCTCGCCTCCTTACCTTCAAGAGGCCATCCAGAGTGCCCTTATAGAGCTCCGTGCTGCCCACTATTGCCCGCTGGTTCATCATCCGTGTCCGCACCACGTCCACAGGGTTGGAGGCAATGGCCCCAGCCAGCCCACAGGTAAAACTGGAGCTACAGACACACCGGAACAGGAGAGAGGAACAGCTCTGAATGCGGCCATTCCGGCTCAGACAGGCCTTGACGTAAGCACAAGAGAATATCTTTCACTGGATTTTATGAAAGGTGTTCAGCAATAGACATTAGCTGCACTACCTGTTCCCACCCAGAAAACGGGGAGAAGGAGGAACCATACCACCTCAGGACCCCAGAGCACTCGGGGAAGGGAAACGCTCAGCTTCGTCTAATCGAGACCCTCGTCAGAGCCCACTGCTGGGCCTCCACAGGGGCAGCCTGCAGTCCAGCAAGTGTCTCCGGGTGCTGTCAAGGTGACACAGACCTGAAGGCAGCCTCTTGGAAGCGCACATCCTTCTCACCAGAGCAAACATTTCTTCGGGGCGGGGAAGGAGGGAGGAAGACCAAAGGCAGCAAGAGGGAGCATGCAGCTGCTAGTCTCCTCCCTCCACGTATGGTCTAGTGCTTGTCACCTTCAGCCCACAGCAGGCAAACCCAACAGAAGCACTGCAGCACCTCCAGCTAAAGTGTCTACCAGAAGAACAGGAAAATGTAGGTAAAAAAGACTTCGGGAGGTCTCTAACCCGCCCCCTGCTCAGAGCAGGCTGACTTCAAAACTTAGGTCAGTTTGCTCAGGGGCTTGTCAGCTTTGCAAGTTCATCTCACAAAGCTCTTGTGGCAACGGCTGGAAGCTGACAGTGCCTGTACAGACGAGGACCTGGGACTGGGGCAGCTCTTTCCACCGATTGCTACAGGTAGTAACACAGCTGGAACTCCTGCCTCGTTCATACCGGGGCACAGACATGGAGCAACAGCATTTCTGGTCATGAGCCAGCTGAAATCAAGCTGACATTTCACGTCACCAAGGCTGCAGCTCCAGGGCACTCGCTCTATAAACAGGTCTCACCCCAAACCCCACTTTGCTCCTCTGCTTCGCACACCCCTGCCAAGCCTGGAGAGCGCAGCAGCTGCAGGAAATACTCACACGAAGTGGGCAAAGATGGTGTCACCCATCAGGCCTGACAGAATTAAGTGCTTCTTGGTGATGTCATACACCGGCAGTTCCACACCGACCACGATGGCGGCTCTCTGAGCTGTTGGGACAACACCCTGCAGAGCACAAACATCAGTCACAAGCGCACACTGCTGCCTGGGGACTGCAGCTAGTGTAACATCCCCCCCCAGCTTCCTCCCAGGGGCCTTTCGCTGACAATCTACCCTGAGTCCTCCTTGCCCTTATCCTGCAGCTGTAGCTCTTCAGGCAGACCAGCTCACCGTCTCCCAACTTCAGTCCAAAGCTAAGGAGGATTCCTCCACCCTGGTAGCATTCCTCCAGCTAGAATAACTGCTGCTCTCCTCCCAGCCAGCAGCACACAGGAATCGGGCTATAATCCACTCCTCTTCCCCCACAACAGTACCCACCAATTCCAATACCAGAAGAGATCCTGCACCACAAGAAGAGCAGCTGTTTAAAGAGCCAGGTGGGGTTCCCGGTCCTCCTTGCTACATAACAGCAGTGCGTCTGCTTTATTTAGGTTTTTTACTTAGGAGATTTTCACGTATTAAAAGAGTTGCTGCTGGCAGGACATCGATCTGGGAACTGGCAAGACAATTACTGGAACAACTATGAGCTTAAGTAAGAGGAACCAGCTACCTTCTGTCCGACAAATATCCCAGCAAACCCCTCATCGCATTTTTATTGGCCTGCAGAACAAGGGGAACATGGCAGCAATGCAGAGTTGGGCCATTTCTCTGGAACTGTAACACCATCAGAGCCATTCAGGGAGACCCGTGGTGTCATGAGAGAGCTCACTGGGACCGAGAGCGACCCTTCAGTGGGGCCCAATCGTGAGCCAACCCACCAGGACAGCCAGCTTTCCTGCCACACAAAACCCAAGCAAATGTTAAGAAGTAAAGGTACTTTTCAGATTTATGGCTCCCGCTGTCCCCATCCCGCTGCGCTAATGCAGCGCCTGACAGTCTCCTCCTCGGTTCCTGCCTAACCCAGTCCTGGCACAGCCAGCTCAAAAACCCCCACGAGATGAATGCCAGAACTGGCGAGACTGGTGAGCACAAACGTCTTTGCCTCAACGTGACAAAAGACTGGAGGGAGGAGACTGGGGTTGTCCCAGACCAGAGAGCAGCAAGACTCCTTGATCACTGGAAACCACCTCGAGACTGACCTGTCTCTGCACCGTGTTCTGTTTGCAGCACACATCAGCAACACAGAGGGTTTCATGTTTTTTCTAGTCTCTCTTCCCCTCTTGTGTGTCTTTGTCTAGAGAGCAGAAATAATCTCAAAGTAAATATTGTGCCAACACTGGCAGTTGACTCCTCCTCCCCTTCCCACACAGGACACCGCAACAGCCATCTTTCTGTAAAAGACTTCAGTGACCATAAGAGGGAGAAATCGGGACTGTTGCCTTGAAAAAAGCATTGGGATTCCGTACCTGCCCTCACGACTTGGCAGACTGCTGGACAACTAAGTGTACAACTTCACTTGAAGGACAACGTGACATTCTCTAACAAAAGCCGATGAACCACTGCTGAAATCCAAGCAGTAAGGCTTGAGCACTGGTAACTCCCATCCGCCTTCAAGCCCAAGAGCTTTACATCACCAGCTTCCCCAAAAGCTGCCACTCTGTCCTACTCTGTGCACGCTCAGAGGGCAAGTTTCAAGCTGAGCATCCTTCCTAACACAGACCATGGAGAGGATCCAGCCCCAAATGCTGGTCCATTCAAGGGACGCTCATATATTTGGAACTTTATGCACACTGGGTTCAGTCCTGCAGAGCAGCTCTGCTCAGCCCAGCGCTGATGCTGCCACACCACAGACCAAATCTCCACCACGGATGTGCTTCTGTTCGCCTGGTAACCAGAAGCGGAACTTTGCTGCTACCCTTGGTTCACAGTTCTCTTCAAAAGCTGCACCAGGGTGTAGCAAACGAGGTGAGGAAGATGATAGTTCTGCTCCTAGTGGGGGGGTTCCAGCAGCTGGTGCTTACCCTCCAGAGGCCTCGGGTACCCTCCTGCTGGTAGATGTCGATGAAGCTGCCAATCATGCCACCCTGGAATAAACTGCCTTGAGCCTGCATTCGAATCTGAAAGAAACACGAGAGTCAGTGGGACGACATCAGCGTCGGCCCCGAAGGGCAGAGGTCCCAGCTGAGTAGGAAGGTAGGTCGGAAGAACAACAGAGCCACTCGGAGCAGACACTGCTATCCCTGTGCCCTCTCCCTGCAAACCACACAGCAAATGACGGTGGCAGGCAAGGAGCGGGGACAGCAACAGGGCGGAAGCACAGTGCAAAACTCAGATGGGACAGAGAAGTGACGGGCAAGGCTGTCCCACTCTGGAAGCGCTCCGAGAAGGCTGATCTACAAAGGGAGAAGCGTGGGAAAGTTCTCCAGGCTCTCTTTGCTCAGAGCGGAGCTACCTTGACCCCAGTAACCCCGCAGTAGGGAACGGAGGGGACCAGGCAGTCCCCACTGGACTCTGGTCACTCCATGTAACAGAAAGGACTTTGTGGCAGCGTCAGCAAAGCGCAGCGCAGTGACCAAAGGGAAAGGAGCCGAGAAGGTCTGATGAATAGCTGGCTACCAACCCCCTCACCTTACCCAGTTGAGATAACAGAGCCTCTACCACTTGCCGTAACAGATTTCACAATCTTTAAGAGCTGCATTTTTAAAAATCTGTTTATTGCACTAGGCTTTTGTTCCCATTCATAAAAAAAACCAAACGAGCAGAACTGATGCCAGCAGTGGCTCAGAGAGCGCCTCACTGCACCTGGGAGAGACACATCTTCACTGGAAAGCAGCAGCTTCTACGTGTCAAACCACAGCCAGGCAGCAGCTGTCTCTGGCCAGGCACCTTCTTACCTTCAGCACATCTGTCGGATTGGCAATTGCAGAGGAGATCACCCCTGAAACCACTCCGCAGATTACATTGATTAGCAACGTTTCATCTGCAATCAAGAAAAGAAAGTCAGATCCTAAAGATCGAAAGAGAAGGTGCACAGGTTGTACTGAACAAGCGGGAAGCTCTGGGAAGAGCAGAGCAGCTCAGTTCGCAAATCACACGGTGAAGCTGCCCGAGCAGAGGCTGGCCAGCTGCCACCAGCTCACGGCAGATCTGTCCCCACACCTGCCAGAGACAGAAAGCAGCAGCTGAAACACTCAGCAACACGCTCTCAGAGAGAAGCGGGTCTTACTGATGAGTCTAGCTGATCAGACAAGGAAAAGACTGTGATACATAGAAATTCCGAACAATTATCTGAGATTTCAGTGTCCAGTGACGCATTTCTCACGATTGAGACAAGCCAAGACAGAGGGAGACAGAGAGGGACAACCCAACACTTCTCAAGGCAACCTGATATCAATTTGTTTTGATCTGGAGCCCCCGCTGGCCGCGCTCAGAGAATGCAGCCACCTTGAGAGAACAGAGAACAGGCGACCCAGGCAGAGAAAGTTAGATGCAATTAGTCCCGGGGGGTGGGTGGAATAATCCAAGACTTCCAGGCCCAGTATTAGGGTGATGGTTATGTTGGGAAAAGGCACAGCCCTTTGCTGGTACTGACCACAGCACTTCCCAGAGGAGACCAGGCCACTGGCTGCCCCAGGCCTGTAGGGAGACAAACATTCAGACAACGGTACTCACAACTGGAAACGCTGCAACAGCAAGCGAGGAGAGACCCAGGGTACGCACACAGACCCACGCACGGGGAGCGGTGTTACCGGAGAACAGAGCAGCCCCCAGGAAGCAGCTCTAGTGCGCTGTGCTTCCCAGTCCTCTCGCTGGGCTGCTGACCGGCCCGGACCACCCATCTCCCTTTCCCTGCTTGGGATGGCGGTACAAAATTCACTCGTGTCACACCAGGGTTTAAAACCACACGTGCAGATCTTGGTGTTCCTTCAGTGAACACGTACCAGACTTCTGCTGCTCCACTCTCTAGGCAGGAGCTGCAGAGGTCATTACCAGAGGTGCACAGGTCAAGAGCACTTGCGGTACCCCATCTCTGCGGTCAGAGCCAAAACTAACAGCTGGACAGCACAATTTCTATCCAGATGTGCTGCCAAAGCTGACAAGGACTCAAAGCTGATGTCAGCCAAAGCTGACAAGGACTCAAAGGCTCCAGCAGGAAGACAGGAGAGACTCACTACTGAAGTTGTCAATCAGTGTACCCCATCTGATGTACAGATGGGACGTGATCTCTTCCCTGAGACTAATCAGAAAGGAGAGATGAGCCTGGGTCAGCGATACCTTTTATTTTGGCTCTGACGTCGCAGAACAGAGATAAAGGCTGGGAAAAGGACAGACCTGGCTGGAGGGAGAGGTGTTTGGCTCGGGACTGTGAGCAGTGCCAAGCACAGCGAGATTCGCATCGTTCACATCTGTACTGAAACCTATCCTTGTTATTACTGTACAAACAAAACCACAGTGCCAAGTAACAAGAACTCCATTTATGTGGAAATCTATAGCTGGGAAGGACAGAGAAAAGAATGAGCAAACCACCCAGCACAGGGAGCACGAGAGTTCACGCTGCACCTCTGGTGAGACGAGAGGTGCCTCTACTGACACATTCACTGACCTTCCAAGCGATCTACGAACAGCCGCTTCAAACTCTGGTAAATGCCAATCTTTATGGTGCCGTAAGATGCCTGTCTCAGCAACGCAGGGGCGATCCTGAGCGGGGGAACAAATGAAACCGTTGAACCCTGCCAGCACAGGGGTCCAGCACAAGTCACCTCCCATCAGCCCCACAGGCAGAGCTGGTGAGGGGTCTGGAGCACACGTCTGGTGAGGAGCGGCTGAGGGCCCTGGGGGTGTCCAGCCTGGAGAAGAGGAGGCTGAGGGGAGACCTTCTCGCTCTCTACGGCTCCCTGAGAGGAGGGGGGAGCGAGGAGGGGTCGGTCTCGGCTCCCAAGGAACAAGAGGAAACAGCCTCAAGTTGTGCCAGGGGAGGTTTAGGATGGATATTGGGAAAAATTTCTTCCCCAAAAGGGTTGTCAAGCACTGGCACAGGCTGCCCGGGGACATGGTGGAGTGCCCATCCCCGGAAGGCTTTAACAGACATGTAGATGTGGTGCTGAGGGATGTGGGTTAGTGGTGGGTTTGGCAGTGTGAACTAACGGTTGGCCTTGATGATCTTAAAGGTCTTTTTCAACTTAAACGATTCTATGATTCTAGATCTCAGGCCAGGCCCACCCCTGCCATGGCTCAGACGCCCCAGGAAGCCCAGCTCTGCCAGATAACAACCCCGGGTGCCTGAGGATCACCTCGCGTTGCCCCCACGCACCCTCCAGTGCGGGAGGCTCACACCCATGCAGCCCGCAGCACGTTCTCGCTCCCCACCTGGGGAAAATGGGGAGTCTCCAGGCTGCAGCACCGGCACCGCTGCCCCGACCCCCGGTGGGGCTCAGGGCGGGCTGGGGGGACCTGGGACAGATGGTGGGGAGACCCAGGGGGGCAGGAGGGAACCCAGGAGGGTAGAAGGGGACCCAGGGCAGATGGTGGGGAGACCCAAGGGGGCAGGAGGGAACCCAGGGCAGATGGTGGGGAGACCCAGGGGAGCAGGAGGGGATCCGAGAGGGCAGAGGGGAGACCCTGGGGAGGACAGAAAGGGGAACTTGGGGAAAGCGGGATCACAATCTGGGTGGGCAAGGGAGGGGACATGGGGCAGGCAGAGGGGGACCCAGAGCAGGTGGTGGGGAGACCAGGAGAGCAGAGGGGTACCTGAGGCGGGGGGGGGAATCGGAAGGGCAGAAGG